CGACATCTGGAGTCCGTAACCTTGAGCCACCGCACCTGGCATCCCCATGTGGTGCTCGAGTGGATTTTCCCGCATTTTCCGACCAGTGCTCGAAGGATGCACACTTATCCTTGGGCAGAAGAGCACTGCATTCCGTCTTAATTGCATTCATATTTTGGCAAAGGCCCAAGTCGCTGCTCTACTTGTATTTATTGTGCATTCGTAAATTAATTGCATTCAGGGTATTTTATTGGCAAACGATTTAACGAATGACTTCCTTTGGCTTTTTAATTGCAACTTAAAAACTTAACGGCAATCGAATGCCTCAAATGCTCTAGACTGCGTACGTGTTTGCTTTGCCCTGAGAAATAGGCAAATAAAATGGGTTATTGCCCTTTGTTGGGTAAATAACCGACTTTAAGGCGAGATAATGCCGAATGGAATTACATGGGAAAACTCTTTGTTTTACATCGCCGTAGTTTACCGAATAATTCAGCTGGCTGCCCACAATTTCATTCCCAATTAATGTTAGTTGTGCGGCCTTTAAACCTGATTATATTTCATGTTTCCCCAGCCGCTTCATCAGCAGCCATAATTTCCATTATAACTTATTGTCTTTCTAATTGAATGAACCGTGGATCGGGGGGATGGCCTTGCCCCGGGCAAAAATCTATTCATTGTCCCATTTGCATACAATATGCCAGTTATTACACTCGGATATGTCCGAAAACACAACCAAATATATACATACATTTGCGTACGTGTGTGGATTTGCTGGAATTCGGCCTAAATGGCTGAAATATGGCCAGTTGACTTGCCAGGGTCGCTTTTTGCATAAATTAGACATGGCTCGCTGGCCAAGGGGTCGCAGGAGTCGCAGGAGTTGGAGAGCCCCGCAAATTAGGTTACGTCGCCAATGTTTTGGAAAATAAAGTAAATACACTGTGTCTAAGAAAAAGCGAAGAAGTGGGCAGATTTGACCTACATTTGCACGGGATGCAGAACATGCAGCAAAAATGCAATATATGTATGCATGTGCAATTTCATTAAATATCCGAAAGGAACACAACAATGCGAGCAACTGGAGATAACAAATTACTAGTCATGAATAATAATAAGCACTCCCTGCCCCAATCTTCTTATGTCGCAACTGTAATGAATATCAGATGATGATGATGATAATGATAGAAGTGCAGCGGAGCGACGTTGACGATGACAATGCTGACAAGCCGATGAACATAGCAGATATGAGCGAGTGGGGGTATCAACCGGGTGTTCTGAATAAGATACTTGGAAAAGATACTCACGCTGAAATGGTTCTACGACCCAGTGAAATGGGAAAATCCAACATTTTTGACACTTTTGGGAACACCCATGGCCATTCGCCAGTGCCAAACTGGGAAACAATGAGTAAAATTTCATTACCGGACGTTGGGACGATTCCACTACAGAGATGAGTGGATGCCGAAGAAAAGGGGTAGCATTGGCGGAGGAGGTGCAGCAATCTTGGCGGGAATTGAAATTGAAAAGAAAATGAATGAAATGCGCCGCGAGGAGCAGCTCGAGCACCCAGGGAACAGCTTACTTGGCTGAGCTGCCGCTGGAGTCCTGCCCCACTTGGCGTCCGCCTCATTGCCATTCTTGCCGCCTGTCAGCGCGACTGTCATCTCATCTGGAGCCAGTCGGAGGAGCCCCTAGTCTCCGGCGCTGTTGTCCTCTGGTTATTTGCATTAAAAATATTATTCATTGCAATCACAAGGATTTGCGCAAAAATGCCTGCAATGAGCCGTTGTCGCTACATAAAATGCAATTGCCGGGAAAAAAGGACGAGGGAAAACTGGAATGAATCCTTTTGTCTCCGGCGAAATAAGCGAATAATGGTATAGCTGTGACACAGTTTAACTGGCGGCACTTGAAGCACTCGAAAAGGATTCGAGTTTCACAAGATTAACGATGCAGAATCAATGAGTAGGAATCATAACGAGGTGCTTGATCATCGGAACCAGCAGTTCCTATTGCCATCTGACGTCCAAACTGCGCTCACAATCAATGAAACTTCTCGAAGTCGTAAGCCAGTCGGTAAATTAAAAATGCATATTGGCATGAAATCCGCCTTTAATCGTTTAAACTGGTGGAACAGACACCACATCCGCTTTCTTGTTTTATTCCCTGCACCGAACCCATGCAATAATTGAACCCATTTCAGTGGCCCATAATTAACTCGCTTTGAAAGGTGATTTCCATAATTGCTTTTTTCAATGGGCCGCCAACTAATTGCCGCGAATTTCAACAGATATGCGACTAATGCTCAGCTGCCGCCAAAGTAGCAATAATGGAGAACACACAACGGCAACAGCTAGCTGCAACATCGGTCCGCAGCAGCGACATCAGCAACAGCAGCGGCGCATCAACAACATCTGCACTTTGATGTTGCCTCATGTTGCACAAGCAGCATGGCCGGGGTAAGAGGGGATTCGGGGGCTTTGGGGGCTCAGGGGGCTCCTGAAGGCGAGGAAAACTGGCAGCCCAGAGCTGATAAATTGGAAGTGCATTTGACGCTGCCTGCGGAGAAGATGTTGCCGCTGCTGCACTGGAAAAAATACAAGGAAGTACAAGGAAGTGCTATAACTATAGACAACTGGCATAACTCCACACAATTATAATTTGTTCGTATTATTTTGTGTATTTGGAAGACACATCTTAGTGCTTTTCATCACATTCAGATCCATCTTCCTGGATTTTTCGCTGTGCACTGATTTTGTTGTAGCTGCTGCTCCTAATATGGGTGATGATGTTGCATTTGCATTTGCTGCTGCTGCTGCGTCTGCTGCTGTTCTTGTTGCAGTTGCAGTGGGCCTGGTGTCGTGTAGCCACCCAGCGCCCGCTGCCCCCGCCGCAGTCGGTTAATGAAACTGCCAAACGAGGCATCGCTGCCACATCCGCCGTCTCCCGAGCCGCCATCCATGTAGCTCTTGGCCAAGTGTTGGTGCTGCAGCTTGGGCCTGTGACAGGGGCAACATCATCATCACCAGCATGCAACATCCCTGCATCCAGTCTCCTCCGCCCAGCGAGCAGTCACGCTTGCTTGTCAAACACTCTGGCAGACTCTTACGATCTCCGCCGGCTTCGGATGCACCGCCTCCCACCCCGCCGCTTCGTGGCAAAATCCATTTGCATATTTGCATCCTTATGCCTGACAGTTAATGCCCCTCCCGACTTTCCACCTTTTGCAAGCGGCGCGCTTTTAACGACAAAGTGTGAAATTTCATTGAATTTGAGCTCGTTGACAAAAGTGGAATGGCAGCAGCAACAACGCAACAACTGCAGCAACAACAGCGCAGGTGTTGCAGCTTGTTGTTGCTGCTGCTCTTGTTGTTTGCAAATTAATTTAAATTATGGTTGTTGCGTTTTTTTCGACAAGCTTTTTATGCCATATTAGCTGAAGGCTGGGCGAATTTTGTAATGGAGAAGGAAACCAGCTAATTTGGCGAAAATCGATAGTGGCAATTAGTTTGCGTTGTTTTGAAAACAACCACTTCATTATTGTATGCTAATATTTCGCACAGCAAATTTCAATGGAGATTGTGGACCGGTGGGTAATGTGAATAAAAATTGCCATTTTAAGTTCACTCTTTAAAGAGTGCAGCCTGCTAAATTTGAGTATAATAATAATCTAATTGCATAATCCTTTAAGCATTTGTGCGCTTGAAGTACCAGTAAACATTGTTGTTCAACATGTTTCGCGTATAATTTGTGTATAGCCACTTCTTGCCACCATTGAAATAACTACACAAATCTAGTGTAGCCTCATTTGCTGCCGGAAAATAGTTTTGACCCATTAACCCGGGGTGAAACATTTTTTCCGCCACTTTTACTCCACTTACCCGCACTGAGGATTTTCCGAACTTGGGCCACACGGCTTTGGCTTTAAGTAATTTTCTAATGACGCCACAGAGGAAAAATGACTCTCGGGAACTTGGGGGCTGCCAAGTTGTCTCCATCCCCAGTTTTCCTGCTCCTGCTGGCGACGTTCATTAGATTAAAAGCAATTTACAGTAAAACTTTTTGCCACAAAACGCCTTCTGCCCCAATGTTGTTCCGCCCCCCTGCCACCACCCCAATCCGACTGCTTGCCACACGTGCTGCAACTCACATGTGCCCAAAACGCCGTGCAAATGCTGCCACCAACTCCTTACGCACTGAGAGAAAAGGTCCGCGAAATGTAAATACCCTGGGGAGGAGCATTTCTGGGGCGCTCTGACTATTTGCATATGTTTTTCTTCGGCACATATTGATAGAGTAAAATGTAGTTATATTTTCATTTCCTCGGTGTAGTCATTTGGTGCGCTCTCTCCTCCTTTTGGAATTCAACAAATTTGCGGATTTGGTTTGTAATTTATTAAATTTATCGCAAGCTCAGAGCGCCTCAAGAGTCGTGGAACGAGGAGGAGGAGTAGGATCAGGATGAGGGGCACCACCCAGTGGGATGACCTACGCCTGCTAATGTCTGCGGTGGCGCTTTTCCGGAGGGGATGGGCAGTGAGGAGCAGATCCCCCGGACGGAGTCTACAGGCAGTGGCATCTGCAACATTTGTTGATGACAACCAAAGACACCGAATGCAACATTTCGGGGAACATTTCGTTGGCCGTATTTGTGTGCGGCACGCCCATTTGGGGAAGTCATTGCCAGCTTAGAAGTTATTATTTTGATTTATAGGAAAAGTTCGCTCAGCGAGCGAAAGTTGCTCGTTTATTTTCCGCAGTGTGGAAAGAGAATGGAGTTTGGGGAGTCGAAAAATTAGATAGAAGCACAGCTTTTAAAATGTGGCGAGCAAATGGCATGGGGCAAATGGCATGTATGTATGCAGCTCCTGTTTTCATTATTAGTGGCCAAAACTTTGAAATGTATCCGTGCTTTTTAAAATGAAGAGAATTAGATAGAACAATCCAGCATACGCTTCGGAAAATTCCGCACTTCTTTACTGCCACAGTTTCCCATTACCATAAACACTAGAATTTGTACGTTTGCAAACACAGAAGTTTTACTACCACAGCAATTTTCATAATACGTTTCTATGCTCCAATAATTTCATAATTTTCATACCGTTGCCAGCTTAGTCTGCAAATTGTCTTCTGTAATTTTCTTCTTCGTCCAGCCACTGGAACAGGGCGTATCCTTATCAGGACCACCTTCGTTTGGGGGATCCTTCTCGTTCCCCGGACAACCAGATGAGCAATACGAATCGTGGAGATCGGAGCAGTCCGTGTTGCAGATATTTCGCCAGCCCTCCGAATTGATGTGGTACAGACGCACGATTCCGCCAGAGTAGGCATCCTTGCTGGTGGCATGGTAAATCGCCCGTCTGGCCAAGTCATAGGCCTCCTGATCGGAGAGATCATGCCGGTAGCCGGTGTCCAAGACGCCGAGGGCATATGGAGAACCGCTGCCCACGGAGAAGACCTGACCATGGGACCTCATGCCCTCCGAGTCCACGTAAATCAGCTTGGGACCCTCGTCATCGAAGCCGGCCAGCATCATGCCCATCACCAGACCCATGCCCTTGTACTCCGTGGATATGTTGCAGATGATCCGGGCAGCCGTGTCCACGGTCATGCGTTTCCGATAGCGCAGCTGGTGCAGTCGGCACTCCTTGGCCAGAACCCGATCCCAGTAGACGCAATCCGCGGCTCCACCGGCCAAGGTGCCCAGCATATAGTCATTCAGCTCCACTATTTTCCGCATCGTCTGGGATCCAATGTACTGGCCAGAGGTGGCTCTGGAATCGGCGCACAGAATCACTCCTCCGCGGTACTTGAAGCCCAGAGTGGTGGTGCCGTGGTCAAAGTCCATGCGAATGCCACAATGCGCCAGGATTTTGGGCAGATTCTCGGCGGGCTAGGGAAACCTTTGATCTGAGATGGCTCTTAAGGAATGCTTTACTTGTACTTACCCTTTCGAAGGGAGGCGCCTGCAGCTCATAGGGATTTTCAAAATTACTGGTCGCCTCGCGAAGCTGCTCCTTCTGCCACTCGGACTGTGCGTCATCGAAGCGCCGCATGAAGGGCATTTTACCCATGCCGCAAATCGCTTCCAGGGCCATTGTGGGTTCACAAGGGTAAATGAATTCAGCAAAATAATATAGTGTAATGTGTAATTGAGCACACTGAACGAGCTCAAATGATTGTGGAGTTAAGTCTCTAGGGGATCTTAAAAAATAAATCCAAAGCGTACACCACTTCAATTAAAACAAGATCGGATAGCTGGACACCTAGTTCCCATCAAACTCTCGCTCCACTGGACAGTCCGCAGTGGCAAGGCCAGTCTCCGGTTCCATTGGCAGGTCATGGTTAGTGGGTGAGAGTGGCTGCGGCACTTTCGCCGGCCACCCAAGTGGAATCCAATGGACCTTCTGTGGGCAGTGGCGGCAGTGGCGCCACCGCAGAGATACACGACATTTTAATTGGACTGCCGGACAGGGTCATCATCGCCACCTGCGGAGATGCGAAATTGGAGCCAAAGCGAATAGGGAATGGCATAGAAGGTGCTTTCGCAGCGACCACGCCCACTCGCAGGCAGCGGCAAACGGATTAGCCGCTAATTAAACGCCAATTGGCAATGTTTGCCAAACTGTTTGAGTCCGCGGGTCGGCTGGGCTCCCTGATATATGTCCACTCCCAGTCGCAGTCACTCCGGCTGCTCCCCCACTGCCTCCATTAGCGGACGCCATGTGTCACTGATCTAAATTTATGCAAATTGCCGAGGACTTGGCCTCCGCATTCCCCAATCCACCCAATCCCATTTCCCATTCCCCATTCCGCATCACCCATCCGCCGCATTGGCACATTTCATTTTTGCACGCGCTTTCCACTGCAGCTTGCATTCCCTGCCCTTCGAATGGAAAACCGAGGGGGCGGAAGGAATTCGCGGAATTCGGAGGCGGCCTGGAGAAGAAAAATCGAGGAAAAAGCGGCGAGCTGGCTTAGCCCTTCATCTAAACATACCCTAACTCTGAGTACAATGGCTTCATTGGCCAGGAAATTAATTTGCCAAGTATTTGTTTCATGAGTCTCCATCCAAACTCAGCCAGCTTAGGCACCTCAATTGGTATAAGATAACATTTATATATTTATATATATTTATATTGCTATAGTGTATTTACTTTTTCTGCGTAAATGGCTGCTTTTTCGCAGCTCCGCAGTTGCTGGATACTTTTGACTGCCAGCGCTGATTATTAAATCACAGGGCAGGGACAAACTGGAGCCGGGTCAGCAATCTGATATGCAAAATCTCGTCTATCCCAGACGACGCTGCTCCACCAGCTCCTCCTGGCCATCATCCAACATTCCCCATTTCCCCTCCCCTCCGCAACATGCCCTGCGCGGCATCTGTCCTGCGTTAATTACAGCCCAGTTTTGTGCACTGGCAACAACTTGTTAAAAATTTCCGCTGCCAGTTTATTAGAGGGCAACTAACTAAGGCAGCAGCGTGGAAGAATCTGCCCGTTCCCGCCGCTTTTGGCCTGAAGTGGCTGGCAAATTACTCAGTCTGAACCTGTTTTAATGACTAAAATGACGCCAAGTCAGGAGCGAATAAGAGATTAGGCCAAACTTGAGCTTCCCGTCTGCGAATTGTTGCAGCTCTGGAGTTGAGAAAGATTTTGTGGCATCGGGTAAGGTATAGCTCTTAAAAATTAGAAATTAAATTTACATGAACTTCATGGTAGATTAAATAGCCAAACTAAGCCACAAAGGTGCCTGTTCCGTGAACTACACTACTAAATAGACACTAAGCATTGAATAACTTTCCTTTCAATCCACTTTGTCAACTTGGTTGAGTAATAAAAAATAAACCACCTTGTTGACAAGCTTAGGAATATTCCCCGAATCTTTTGAAAGAGTTCTTTTTAAGCTCTCGAATTACAAAAACAAAACTCCGCCGAGAATTGTTAAAATAAAATTCAACTAAGGCGCACGTAAGCAAAACCGTTTTAGGGACTTTTGCCGGCGAATATTTTATTTCACTTTCGTTTTATTTACTTTTGCCGCTTAGCATTATTGTTTCAAAATCCTTCAAATCCGTTGTTTTACTGCTTATTGTTCGCCAACTCAGCCCCCAACTTTGTTGCCAGCAACTTTTAAGCTTGCTTAAGGCGCCCAACCAGACTTGCTTGCTCCCAAAATAACGCAAAACTTTCCCATGAATGCGGCATCATGCCCAGCCAGCCACCAGCCACCAATACACCAAGCCACCAAACCACCGCCGTCCAATTTGTAGTTCATCATCTGTTCCGCGGAGCTGTCAAAGCTCCGCGTTGTCCAAAATATGACAGCGGTGGAGTATTTCGCCAAAAGCGGTGCATTTAATTTATTTTAATTGAAAAAGGTCGCCCAAATGGATTAGGCCGTCGAAAGAATGCCAGGTGCTAATGGACATCAGGTCTTCAAAAGTCATTCAGCTAGTTCCTCCAAAAATCTGTTTCCATGGCTCCAAAAATCGTAGGTGTTTGACTACTCAAATGAAATCATTTCTATGCATATTATATTATTCCTCGGAACAAATCCACTTGAATATGGGGGCTTGTAACTTTCGCTTGTGGGGTCAACTTGGCTGACAGCTCGCAGATACGCAAAATCAAAGTCAGATACACAAACCAGGGGAGCAAACTAGTTGTACAGCCAATCGTCGAAGCTTAACAAAGTGTAGGCTTTTACGATGATGCATTAAATTAAAAACTTTGGCCAGAGAACAGTCCATTAGCAGGGCCAAAAGTACACGGAGTGCAATGCTTATTTATGAGCCAGATTAAAAATTTATAAATGGAAAGTAATTCCCGAAGTGCGGCCATAAAACAAACTCCCCGGCCAACCGCTCAAACTTTTTCATCATCTCGTTTGGAATCGACATCTTGAGGGGCAGAACTTCTTGTAGGTTTTAACGACTAACGACTTTGCATTGGTTTTCATGGCCCAAGTGCCGAAAGCATTCAAGTTGGCTTTTATGGTTGACACAACATATTTGCCGGCATTCCAAGGCAATTGGCAACTCTCACATATCCGTAGATACGTGGATTCAACAGCCCCATCCTAATTGTTGCGCCCCAGGATTTTATGGTTCTTTGAGAGCCATTAATCCGAATTTGATATCTGCCTAATTAGTTTTCCCTGCTTGGCTTTTATGGCCGACAGCCTCGTAAATTTTCATGATCGATTCGAGCGGCAAAGCGCGAAAAGAAAACTCCGCCCAGCCGATAAGCACCCAAACACATCGTTTCGGTTGCTGCATAATTGAATTTAATTAATAATCATCCTCATCCTTTCATGGCTTGCCACTCGCGGATTTGGGTGACAAGGAGAGGTGGTCCCAGTAGAACTCGATCACCATGTGGGGAATGCGTTTGTTGGCCTCGCAAGCTGCAAGCTGTTCCACCTTGGGCGAGTCCTTGAACTTGATGTTGAACATCCTAGTTCCATTGGCGTTCGTAAAAACAGAGAGTATTTTTTCAGCCTGCAGTCCTCGAGGGAATCCTGTGCTGCTCATTCTCTAAAAGAAAATTAAGCAGTATTATTGGCACATAAGCACATAAATTAAACGATTTTGGCAGAGTACAACTTTTTTTGGTTGGGACGAAAGCGACCCTCGCGTGCTGTGGATATGTAAAACTCTGGTAACACTGGTTCGTTGACTTTGCATCCCATGTGCCGGAATGTGCCGGTGCATTCCGTTCCCTTTCCGTTCCACCGAGAGTCCCTATGTTCTTTTGCTTCCACGCCGCCAAACAACGCAAATGCACTTTGATTGTTGTTGACCAACAAACAGGCACGCGTCCAGCGCAACTCCGTGGCAACAGAGAAAAGTGGTAATGACCAGGAGAGCTGCTAATGTGGATGCCACTTTGTGTGCACGCTGCTGCGTTTTGGACCAGGCTTCTTGCCACATTCGATGGACGGGCGATTCTGTCAAAGAACTGAACGAGATTCCACTTCGGGGTAATTCTCCTCTGATTATCGAGCACTGACATTTTCCTCGATTGAGGAAATCATCAAGGAAACGCGTAACGAGGTGCACTGCTGTTCGATTTAATGGGGCTGCATCGCATGATTTTAGTGTCAATCAGGCGAGGAATCGCATTTTAAGACGAATGCGCATCGCTGATTATAAGGAAGATTGCGATGTTTAGTGGAATGCAATTCTTTCACTGACAGTGTTGCAAGTCGCTAAATTGCCATGACAATGTGTTATCGATATGTGCAATTACTTTTTTTCGCTGCTAACTTTTTGCTTTCGCTTTAATTACCAACTGTCGCACCTGGGCCAATTATCCTGGAAAAATGTAGGAAGCTTCTACAAGGGCAAAAAATGTTAATTTATTGAATCGTGTACGCCGTACATATGTATTATATGTGCGTATGTATGTAAATATTTCAATGACTTTAATTAACCAAAAGCGAGGCAATTAATTGACTTTGCATGCTCAATTTAATTAATATTTGTTGTAGCCTATTTGCCAAAGGATGTGCAACATTTAGGCTGCAACTAGGGCATGTTTTCGACCCCCGGGCATTAATCAAATTGTAAAAAATAAAATGCTTTGGCATTTAAGCGGCGGTCAGGCAGCTGATTAAAGCCATTTTCCAGGTTTTTCCGTTTCTTGTCTGTTTTTTTTTTTTTTTTTGTGGGGAGGGGAGGGGAGAAAACCGCTTTGGAAAGTGTCGGGCGGAATGAAATGAAATTCTTTATTTTAATAATGCAAGTTTGCACATTTTTAATTGTGCTGCCGACAGCTGCAAGAACTTGGCTGCTCACTTGACCCACAAAGGTGCGGCCACTGCAATTGTGGGCGAGAGTGGGTGGTGGGTGGTCGGCGGCTTGGGGGCAAAGGTGAAAGGTGAAAGCTGGAAGGTAAGGCGACAAAAACCGCGCTTGCCATAAAGGGACGCTGCAAGGACATTACGACTAAATGTAAACAGCTTAATTAAAAAATAAAACTCCGCTCGGCACGTACGGGGAAAAACAGTGCTGGGAAAATCCCACCAACGCCACCCCCTCCGCCACGACCTGCTCATAAGACCACCCACTTGGGAGGGGTTTTCCAGCATGTGTGCGGCACGCTCTCTTTATTTGCTTAAATGCACAAAAGTGTTTTTAATTTAATTTTTTCGTCTTTTCGCACACACTCGCTCCTACTTTGCGCTTTGATGCAGTTCCTAATTAAAATGAAAGTAATTTTTCATCAGCGACCGGGGTAAAGTAAAATAAATTTCCCGCCGCCCCCTCGGCGGCCATTCAAGTGCTCATTAAAAGTGTTTCAAACCAGTTGCACAGTCTTAAATATGCCACTATAAAAAATTAAATGTGAATTGTGAAATGTTTGCCATGTTTTTAGGGGTAAATTTGAAATTATTTGCTCGGTAGTCTGGCGCCAGAGTTTTCCGCACTTTTCCCACTTTACCCCAATGTCGTCAGCGTCGCCAGCTGTTCAAGTGTTTCTCCAAGTCGAAACTTTTCTTTTAAATATTTCCCATACTTATCCCCAGTCATGTGCTGCGAAAGTTTTATGCATACGCATTAACGTGAAAAGTGGGCTGGCGAAACTGGGAGATAGTCGCATTTGGAGGGCGATGGTCCTCGGAAAATGCAAGCTTCCACACATACTCGTATGCAGTGGTATGTGGAAAACGCCACCCAAGTCGGGGGGTAATTATAAAGTTTGCCGCTGATAACTTTGGTGTTAGGTTTTATCTTTCTTCCGGCTGAGATGAATCAGTAATACCCAATAGCGTACGGAATTTACATTTATAAGTCGACTTAATTCATGAGGTTTTGCACAAAACATTAGGCCTTAGCTTCGTTTCCGTAATCGCATTATGTGTCCAGCTGTTATCTGAAAGTACAGGAACTGCCCTCGCAGTGCAGTCAGCCGTGAAGTGCATGTTTCCCCAATTTGCATGCCAAATTGTTTACTTCTCTCGTTTCAATGTGCTTTATCAATTTGAATTCGAGTTGAGTTGCATGTTGGGGTTCCCTTAGAAAAGAAAGCGGGCATGTGAATTAGTTTTCCCAATGAAATTTCCGCAAGAAACCATGAAAAATTGCCGAAGATTTCGCGGTATAAGCAACAATTTGATTTAGCGCGCTGACTGCGCCAGAATGTCATGCATAAAGTTTCGTAGCTCCCTTCATGGTCTTCATGGGCGCACAAATAGCCGCCCACTTAACCACCCCCGAACCACCCACCCATTTGCCACACCTGGAACCACCACCCCGCTCCCAAATGGCGCTATCAAAGCAGGCGAATGTCTATTTAATTGTGTCTGCTACGGTGTCCGCATCTCGATGCTTCGGCGCCACCCACTTTGCAGGTGGTGGCAGGTGGGTGGTTGGTTTGTCGGGCGGTGGCAGCATCAAATGCACTTTAGCCCAGGGTCCCGTTAACTGACACGGCATACTGATGACCAGTGCTGCAAGCTCCAGACGAATGCATACCTGAACAAAATGCTAAAATCATAGCAAAACGCAGGATTTCAAAGTTAATAATCCTTGGAAAATGTGAAAGCGTAACGTTGACCTTCAGCGAGCAGAGCACATACTATACTTTATATCATATACTACATATTTATGACATTATCCAAATGGCTTCTATCGCATTTGGCTAGAAAAGTGCCAAGCGGATGGCACCGATGGTGGGTTTCGCTGGAAGTCGCAGGTGTTGCAACTGCGAGTCTGCGGTGTGGCTGCCACACCTGCAATTTGAGTCGCTCTTACACACATTCTCCGGTGTGGGTGGGTGGCTGTGTGTGGGTGTGTGGGTGTGTGGGTGGGTGGGTGTTGGATGGGAAATGAAGTCATAAAGTCTGATTTCGCCCGTTCATGCTCATTATCACGTAGCGATATCGTGTAATCGTCATGCTCACGATAATGATGATGTTAACCAAGTGGATCGCTGCACCCGCGCACACCCCTCTCGCTCCCACCACCGCTCTACCCATCTCTTTCTCCCAGGGCGCTATCTTCTCCCATTTATATTCCAGCATCTGCGCTTCGCTGGTAAACTTTCTGACCCAAACTGACACATTCATGAAACAATTTAAAAAGTCATTGTCATCGCAGGACATAGTGGCTCCCATACCCGCTTCCAGCCAACTTCTTTAACTGTCCTGTCAATGGCACCGTCATTTGTATTGTTGGCCATTACGGTCAGTGTCCCGAGTTGAAAACAAAATTGTCATGGCTCCCGGGGCAAGTGGTCCTCGGGTGAGCAGCTTTGCTCCAATTGGAGCTGAAGTATGTGCCAAGCCATCCGCTCCACCAAGTAGACGGAGTGTCCTATGTCCTCGTCCCACTCCACCATAGCTCCGATGCTAGGGTATCCTTCGGTCGTGGCCTGCGTATCCATGTTTCTGTTGGTTTGGCTGGGTTGGCAAAGTTTTTAGCTAAGGCATTTGGTGCTTTTGTTTTCCCAGCTCACGTGACAGAGCAATTTCGAAAATAATTTCAATTCTTCAACTTAAAAGGCTCTCAGTAATAACTTTCAAACTCTTAGTAACTAAAGTACACAACCTACCTACGTATTTAACGCACCGAAAAGTTTATTAATTGAGCAATACTCTTCAGTGCAGAGTATGTATAGTATAGTCAGTCTGCTGGTTCTGCGATTTTTGATCACACGAGAAGTTAAACTACCCAAAGAAATTTGTAAATCATTAAATAGGGATTCTCCCCAGCAGAACGCTTGCCCGCATTTTTGATTAAGGGGCAATAACCCTGCAGCAAATGTTGCAGAAACTCATTATTGCATCGTAATGATGAAAGGGCCACAATGGAGGAGCTGAGGCGGGAGCAGCACATGGCAATGGCTCCCAACAGTGTAATTTCTGGGATCCAAAGCCACAGGATTTTATTGGGCGGAAAATTAAAAGCATAACATTGCACGCTTTAAATTTGAGTGCAGTGGCAAAGTGAAAAGTGGCAAGTGGAAAGTGGCAAGTGGCAAAGTGGCAGCAACAGAAGCCGCAGCATATCGCGCCAAGTCCGACTTGGCAAGACCGCCAAAGAAAAGAGAACCGAGGGTTTTCCAAGACCTATCGCAAACACCCACCACCTCATTTTCCCAGTTGCAAGCTGCAGTCTGTGGTTTTTGGACTCACGCGCATAGTAAATTCAACTTATTGACAGGCTTGCAGAGTGCAACGTGTTCCGATAAGCGAGCAGGTGAGTGAGTTGCACCTGTGCCCCTGCTCTCCTCCTTTTCCCCTGCAACTATTCTGGAAAAGATTTCCCAGCTGCGAACTGGCAGTATCGGCATTACTTCGCCCATGAATCTTGTCGACGACGAGGGAACCCATACTAATTACAAATTTATGACAATTTCTGCGTGGGAAAATGTGCTCGTTTTCCAGACTTTCCATTAACCAGACCTGCAAAGGCCCGTTTCTGGCAGTTTGAACATTGTTAGTTGGGAGTATCACATAAACGGATTTTATTGTGTGTAGATTCCCCGTAAGTTAATTACATCTTAGTCCGAATGGAGAGGGGCTTACCCAATAATTTTACAATAGCATACCAGAATCTTACAGCACGAGGAGTTCTCTCCAAGTAAATGACCCAATAAAATGACACAGCTGCTAGACGCAAACTACCCAAAGCTGCGACCCATTCTGGGCAGCACCGGAGGCATCCACTCCTCGAACTCGGGAATGTCGAACAGCGGGTGCTGGTTGAGGATGTCGAAGCGCACCACCTTGTACGTGGAGACGAGCCACTGGCCCATGCAGCGATTGTTGTCCCGCACATTGCCCAATTTGGAGGCTTCCACGGAATAGTCGCGCCGGAAGCGTATGAACACCTCGGCGAAGATCAGGGGATGTGGCACCCTTAACTGAGCGGGATCTATATACTCCTTCAGCAGCTCCGTCATCTCACTGAGTTCCGTCCGCGACCGGAAGTCGTTGGATCTCCGCAGGGCCACAAAGACCACGTCCAGGAAGGCGAACCGATGGTCGTAGTGCCGCAGCAGCTGCACCTTGAGTGGAATGGCCCGCCTGAAGTGCTCCTTCTCGAAGCGCATCATTTTGAGCCTCCAGTCGGGCGGATCGTCCAGTAGATCGTGCTTGATCTGCTTGAAGCCCATGGGCGTACTGCATCGCTCCACATTCCGGTTGCGGCGACGCCTTACGAAGTCCGTGAAAACGGCGGCTGCCTGGCGCGAATTCTCGATGAACTTCTGCTCGGAGAAGTCCCAGTCCCAAAGGAGCTTCAGCCGCAGGAGGGCCAACATGGTGGTCAGTCGGCTCAGTGGGCTGTAGAAGTATATCATTGTGGGCAGGGACACTTGTTGCGGCTTGTCCTTGGCCAGAAAAAAGTCCACCTCGATGTCCAGTTTTTTACCGGGGCTTATTTGCACCATAGGCACAGCCTTTCGAGGCTCCTGGGAGCCATGGCGCACCTGGAGGGGAGCACTCAGGTGATGTCCCCTGGGAACCCGCATCGAATGCCGCAGCACATGACCGTAGCGGGTGCACTTGTTCATCAGCAACCGGTGTATCCTCATCATTCCATAGTTTAATTTGTTTTGAATTTTGTCAATTTAAGGAGCCGGAATATTCAAATTGAACGGAATACATGTGAGCGTCAGCACTTGGCATTGAATGCCCGGGCTGAGTGATAGGCACTTGCCACTTCAGTTCATCCTGCATACTGTAGTATGCACTGGAAAAAAGGATTCCGAATTTGCCGTCAATAGAGTACAAGATATACCATACTAAAGGCATCTCTTAGGTATGCTCAATCTTGTAGCAGAGAAATAAAATGCGAACACAACATCCTAGCATATAAGTGTAACCTCTCATATTGGCAAAACAACAATAAGGTCCTAATTAGGCCAACATGGAAGGGAATTCAATCCGCTTGAGACTGAGACCAAGACCCTACACATCCTTCCCGACTCCCGCAGGAGAAGTGGCTCCATTGATTCGACAGCATGCAATTATCGAATGCATTAGGAAACACAGAGTGCCTTCGCCAATGCAGCTCCTCTCACCTGGAGCCACCTTCCACCACCTGAGCTACCCGCACTTGTTTGCCCAGGCGTTCGCTTATCCCGGATCGGGCGAAGGAAACAGACAATGGCGACCAGGAAGGCGCCCAGGACTCGCCCATCTGCCATGAGGAAAGGGGCATCCGCCCACAGCCTTCTACATCGGGTTAATTGTTTGACAATTGATTTCGATGCGAGGCAGCCGCTTGCAAAATATGCAAATGTTTTCAGGATAATTAAATGAAAGTCTGTTGCACTAGCCACCCAGAAACAAGGTGCTTGTTACTTAGCAAGCAGTACAGTTGCCCCAAAACATTTGACTTGTACTTCATGTTCTAATAATCCATAATTAAGTGTGCTAGAATTGAAAGCCTAGTGGTTTTGCTTAATTAAAAATATTTGTTATTGATGTTCATGTCAAGACCTTCAACAAAACACACAAACAAGCCTTGGAGCCTTTAAAAAGTACAGTTGCCTCAATGAGTATGCAAATCCCTGGTTAAACCGTTTCAGTTTGATGCCTACGAACGCTTTAACTAATTCAGAACACAAAAATACGTCCATCCATTTTTGATGCCGTAGATTTATCAAACGAAATATTAAATGACCGAAACGGAATGAACCTACGACAATGGAGTTTGAGTATGAATAAATGCTGAAAATGGCAGGGGACACGACGAATGGAGATGAAATTCCAGGCATATGGACACACAAAATCCCCGTGTAATCCCCGGGAAAATAGGGGGAAAACAGAACAAGAAGTATCGCAATAAAATATGTTAAGTAAATACGAAGGGGGAGGGTCGGGGATGAACTAAACAATAAGCCAAAAAGTACGCTTGATTAAGTTTAACTTCCGGTCTGTTATAAATTGAGCATTTATGTGGGATTTGTTTGGGAATACAGTTTCTACTTTGTTGGCCAGACCCCCGAAAAAATCTATGGCATCCATCCATCGGCGTGCAAACGAGACAAATGTTTAGGCCAACTCCACAAACACACACACACAGTCGCACACATCCACATGTCTATTTCCGGCGGAAGTGGTGAATAAAACATGAAACGAAATAAAATAACGGCCCGAGGCGGAGGAAGAAAGGAGAACTTTTAGTGGCCAAAAGTGAACATCCTGCAGCTGAGCCTCCTGCTGTTGGCAGCGTTGAATTTTGCTTTGTTTAGTTGGGCGCAAATGGCTGAATTATTCCTGAACCGGCCAATCGAAGGGGGTCAACTGAAAATTAAATGCCAAACATTTTATCGGGCACTGTAAGCAGTCTGCGAACTGTGGCTGCATCTCTGGCACTTAATATCCGTAGATAAAATATTCAATTTCCCCCTGATGACAAACCTGGGAAATAACCAAGTGAATGAGAGACAGCAGGGATTCATCTGCTTGGAGACGACGGCATGGAAATAATAATGAAATGAAATGTTGGCCGGGCCTTTTGACTTTGTCAATGAATGTTCCGAGCAGGCAATTGAGTTGGCAAACTTAATATTATAATCATTCGATCGTTAAGGTCCCAATTATAGTTATTGCCCTGCTATTGCATTCAAGCAATACGTATTTGACCATAAACTATGAATACGGGTCAAAATCCATTTCGAAATTGCTTCATTAACGAGCTGTGGCTTTGCTTACCGCAAATTATTTTACCAGGATTTACGTTTTGCCCATCTATTAAGGGGCCAAAGATTTAACTTTTAAGCCAAATCACAAACTTATATGTAAACTTATATGGAGACGTACATATCCAGCTAAAATTATTCAAGGTTGTTTATGGAATAACATAATTGGGTCTTAAAATATGTTGTTTTATTGTTGGGCGCTCGTACTATTTGGAACTGTTTTAAAGACAGTAGTATCCGACACACATGCTGCCAAAACCGTAGATGGGATCGCATTGTCTTGTGCTGGGCGGACAGGGAGGACATTGGTTGCAGGAGATGGACGGCGGACAAGGACATCTGGTGCTGCCGCAGGTGGGTCTGCATGCTGGAGGATCGGCGTATCTACAGACCAAGTCGTTTGGTGGATAGCCTAGCTTCAGTTCCACTTTGGGTGGTGGGCGCTTCGGTTTTTTCTCTTCCGGCTTCTTCTCATGTTTCTTTACCAGCACCTGGGACACGCTGCTCTCGAAGATCGCTGTTTTCGTGGGCTCCCGGTCAGGATGACTCTTTACGGATGCCTCCTTTCTATTTGTGACTTTCACGTGCACGGTACTCACGTTGTCAGATTCGGAGTGCACAACTTTCTTCTCCTTCTCTATTGATTCCTTGTGGTCATTTACATCGATATCTGTCGAATTGCTGTCCGTACTGCAAAAGTATAAAAAATGTTACTAAGAATAATATTTTTTTACTTAGGATGCTTACGACACCTCTAAGAAGTGAAGCTTTTGTGAATTCATAGAGGTACAGTAGGTCCCAAAAAAAAACAAGATAGAATGCTATAGTATTGCTTAGAAGTGTGGGCGTGGCAAAAAGTTTTTGCATATAAATAAGTGTAAATTTTTTGAATTTCGGAAAAATTACAATAAAAAATTAAAAAAAAAAAAAAATTCTAAATTTGAATGCAGATTTTTAGAGAATTGCTCCAGAAACATTTAGAGGTATGCCACTTCAAAATCCGATTAAGATTAGTTGAGTTATGGACTTTAGAACTTCAGCCTTGAGGCATTTTTGAGTTTCCACATCACATCAGAAAAATGACAAAAAAATGATAAAAAAATAAAATTCTAAATTTGAATGCAGATTTTTAGAGAATTGCTCCAGAAACATTTAGAGGTATGCCACTTCAAAATCCGATTAAGATTAGTTGAGTTATGGACTTTAGAACTTCAGCCTTGAGGCATTTTTGAGATTCCACAACATCATCACATCAGAAAAATGACAAAAAAATTACAAAAAAATCAAAAAAAAATAAAATTCTAAATTTGAATGCAGATTTTTAGAGAATTGCTCCAGAAACATTTAGAGGTATGCCACTTCAAAATCCGATTAAGATTAGTTGAGTTATGGACTTTAGAACTTCAGCCTTGAGGCATTTTTGAGTTTCCACAACATCATCACATCAGAAAAATGACAAAAAAATTACAAAAAAATGAAAAAAAAAATAAAATTCTAAATTTGAATGCAGATTTTTAGAGAATTGCTCCAGAAACATTTAGAGGTATGCCACTTCAAAATCCGATTAAGATTAGTTGAGTTATGGACTTTAGAACTTCAGCCTTGAGGCATTTTTGAGTTTCCACAACATCATCACATCAGAAAAATGACAAAAAAATTACAAAAAAATGAAAAAAAAATAAAATTCTAAATTTGAATGCAGATTTTTAGAGAATTGCTCCAGAAACATTTAAAGGTATGCCACTTCAAAATCCGATTAAGATTAGTTGAGTTATGGACTTTAGAACTTCAGCCTTGAGGCATTTTTGAGTTTCCACAACATCATCACATCAGAAAAATGACAAAAAAATTACAAAAAAATGAAAAAAAAATAAAATCCTAAATTTGAATGCAGATTTTTAGAGAATTGCTCCAGAAACATTTAGAGGTATGCCACTTCAAAATCCGATTAAGATTAGTTGAGTTATGGACTTTAGAACTTCAGCCTTGAAGCATTTTTGAGTTTCCACAACATCATCACATCAGAAAAATGACAAAAAAATTACAAAAAAATGAAAAAAAAATAAAATCCTAAATTTGAATGCAGATTTTTAGAGAATTGCTCCAGAAACATTTAGAGGTATGCCACTTCAAAATCCGATTAAGATTAGTTGAGTTATGGACTTTAGAACTTCAGCCTTGAGGCATTTTTGAGTTTCCACATCACATCAGAAAAATGACAAAAAAATGAAAAAAAAATAAAATTCTAAATTTGAATGCAGATTTTTAGAGAATTGCTCCAGAAACATTTAGAGGTATGCCACTTCAAAATCCGATTAAGATTAGTTGAGTTATGGACTTTAGAACTTCAGCCTTGAGGCATTTTTGAGATTCCACAACATCATCACATCAGAAAAATGACAAAAAAATTACAAAAAAATGAAAAAAAAATAAAATTCTAAATTTGAATGCAGATTTTTAGAGAATTGCTCCAGAAACATTTAGAGGTATGCCACTTCAAAATCCGATTAAGATTAGTTGAGTTATGGACTTTAGAATTTCATCCTTGAGGCATTTTTGAGTTTCCACAACATCATCACATCAGAAAAATGACAAAAAAAATTACAAAAAAATGAAAAAAAAATAAAATTCTAAATTTGAATGCAGATTTTTAGAGAATTGCTCCAGAAACATTTAGAGGTATGCCACTTCAAAATCCGATTAAGATTAGTTGAGTTATGGACTTTAGAACTTCAGCCATGAGGCATTTTTGAGTTTCCACAACATCATCACATCAGAAAAATGACAAAAAAATTACAAAAAAATGAAAAAAAAATAAAATTCTAAATTTGAATGCAGATTTTTAGAGAATTGCTCCAGAAACATTTAGAGGTATGCCACTTCAAAATCCGATTAAGATTAGTTGAGTTATGGACTTTAGAACTTCAGCCATGAGGCATTTTTGAGTTTCCACAACATCATCACATCAGAAAATTTACAAAAAAATCAAAAAAAAATAAAATTCTAAATTTGAATGCAGATTTTTAGAGAATTGCTCCAGAAACATTTAGAGGTATGCCACTTCAAAATCCGATTAAGATTAGTTGAGTTATGGACTTTAGAACTTCAGCCTTGAGGCATTTTTGAGTTTCCACAACATCATCACATCAGAAAAATGACAAAAAAATTACAAAAAAATGAAAAAAAAAATAAAATTCTAAATTTGAATGCAGATTTTTAGAGAATTGCTCCAGAAACATTTAGAGGTATGCCACTTCAAAATCCGATTAAGATTAGTTGAGTTATGGACTTTAGAACTTCAGCCTTGAGGCATTTTTGAGTTTCCACAACATCATCACATCAGAAAAATGACAAAAAAATTACAAAAAAATGAAAAAAAAATAAAATTCTAAATTTGAATGCAGATTTTTAGAGAATTGCTCCAGAAACATTTAAAGGTATGCCACTTCAAAATCCGATTAAGATTAGTTGAGTTATGGACTTTAGAACTTCAGCCTTGAGGCATTTTTGAGTTTCCACAACATCATCACATCAGAAAAATGACAAAAAAATTACAAAAAAATGAAAAAAAAATAAAATCCTAAATTTGAATGCAGATTTTTAGAGAATTGCTCCAGAAACATTTAGAGGTATGCCACTTCAAAATCCGATTAAGATTAGTTGAGTTATGGACTTTAGAACTTCAGCCTTGAGGCATTTTTGAGTTTCCACATCACATCAGAAAAATGACAAAAAAATGAAAAAAAAATAAAATTCTAAATTTGAATGCAGATTTTTAGAGAATTGCTCCAGAAACATTTAGAGGTATGCCACTTCAAAATCCGATTAAGATTAGTTGAGTTATGGACTTTAGAACTTCAGCCTTGAAGCATTTTTGAGTTTCCACAACATCATCACATCAGAAAAATGACAAAAAAATTACAAAAAAATGAAAAAAAAATAAAATCCTAAATTTGAATGCAGATTTTTAGAGAATTGCTCCAGAAACATTTAGAGGTATGCCACTTCAAAATCCGATTAAGATTAGTTGAGTTATGGACTTTAGAACTTCAGCCTTGAGGCATTTTTGAGTTTCCACATCACATCAGAAAAATGACAAAAAAATGAAAAAAAAATAAAATTCTAAATTTGAATGCAGATTTTTAGAGAATTGCTCCAGAAACATTTAGAGGTATGCCACTTCAAAATCCGATTAAGATTAGTTGAGTTATGGACTTTAGAACTTCAGCCTTGAGGCATTTTTGAGATTCCACAACATCATCACATCAGAAAAATGACAAAAAAATTACAAAAAAATGAAAAAAAAATAAAATTCTAAATTTGAATGCAGATTTTTAGAGAATTGCTCCAGAAACATTTAGAGGTATGCCACTTCAAAATCCGATTAAGATTAGTTGAGTTATGGACTTTAGAATTTCATCCTTGAGGCATTTTTGAGTTTCCACAACATCATCACATCAGAAAAATGACAAAAAAATTACAAAAAAATGAAAAAAAAATAAAATTCTAAATTTGAATGCAGATTTTTAGAGAATTGCTCCAGAAACATTTAGAGGTATGCCACTTCAAAATCCGATTAAGATTAGTTGAGTTATGGACTTTAGAACTTCAGCCATGAGGCATTTTTGAGTTTCCACAACATCATCACATCAGAAAAATGACAAAAAAATTACAAAAAAATGAAAAAAAAATAAAATTCTAAATTTGAATGCAGATTTTTAGAGAATTGCTCCAGAAACATTTAGAGGTATGCCACTTCAAAATCCGATTAAGATTAGTTGAGTTATGGACTTTAGAACTTCAGCCATGAGGCATTTTTGAGTTTCCACAACATCATCACATCAGAAAATTTACAAAAAAATCAAAAAAAAAATAAAATTCTAAATTTGAATGCAGATTTTTAGAGAATTGCTCCAGAAACATTTAGAGGTATGCCACTTCAAAATCCGATTAAGATTAGTTGAGTTATGGACTTTAGAACTTCAGCCTTGAGGCATTTTTGAGTTTCCACAACATCATCACATCAGAAAAATGACAAAAAAATTACAAAAAAATGAAAAAAAAAATAAAATTCTAAATTTGAATGCAGATTTTTAGAGAATTGCTCCAGAAACATTTAGAGGTATGCCACTTCAAAATCCGATTAAGATTAGTTGAGTTATGGACTTTAGAACTTCAGCCTTGAGGCATTTTTGAGTTTCCACAACATCATCACATCAGAAAAATGACAAAAAAATTAAAAAAAAATAAAATTCTAAATTTGAATGCAGATTTTTAGAGAATTGCTCCAGAAACATTTAAAGGTATGCCACTTCAAAATCCGATTAAGATTAGTTGAGTTATGGACTTTAGAACTTCAGCCTTGAGGCATTTTTGAGTTTCCACAACATCATCACATCAGAAAAATGACAAAAAAATTACAAAAAAATGAAAAAAAAATAAAATCCTAAATTTGAATGCAGATTTTTAGAGAATTGCTCCAGAAACATTTAGAGGTATGCCACTTCAAAATCCGATTAAGATTAGTTGAGTTATGGACTTTAGAACTTCAGCCTTGAGGCATTTTTGAGTTTCCACATCACATCAGAAAAATGACAAAAAAATGGAAAAAAAATAAAATTCTAAATTTGAATGCAGATTTTTAGAGAATTGCTCCAGAAACATTTAGAGGTATTCCACTTCAAAATCCGATTAAGATTAGTTGAGTTATGGACTTTAGAACTTCAGCCTTGAGGCATTTTTGAGATTCCACAACATCATCACATCAGAAAAATGACAAAAAAATTACAAAAAAATGAAAAAAAAATAAAATTCTAAATTTGAATGCAGATTTTTAGAGAATTGCTCCAGAAACATTTAGAGGTATGCCACTTCAAAATCCGATTAAGATTAGTTGAGTTATGGACTTTAGAATTTCATCCTTGAGGCATTTTTGAGTTTCCACAACATCATCACATCAGAAAAATGACAAAAAAATTACAAAAAAATGAAAAAAAAATAAAATTCTAAATTTGAATGCAGATTTTTAGAGAATTGCTCCAGAAACATTTAGAGGTATGCCACTTCAAAATCCGATTAAGATTAGTTGAGTTATGGACTTTAGAACTTCAGCCATGAGGCATTTTTGAGTTTCCACAACATCATCACATCAGAAAATTTACAAAAAAATCAAAAAAAAATAAAATTCTAAATTTGAATGCAGATTTTTAGAGAATTGCTCCAGAAACATTTAGAGGTATGCCACTTCAAAATCCGATTAAGATTAGTTGAGTTATGGACTTTAGAACTTCAGCCTTGAGGCATTTTTGAGATTCCACAACATCATCACATCAGAAAAATGACAAAAAAATTACAAAAAAATGAAAAAAAAAATAAAATTCTAAATTTGAATGCAGATTTTAAGAGAATTGCTCCAGAAACATTTAGAGGTATGCCACTTCAAAATCCGATTAAGATTAGTTGAGTTATGGACTTTAGAACTTCAGCCTTGAGGCATTTTTGAGTTTCCACATCACATCAGAAAAATGACAAAAAAATGAAAAAAAAATAAAATTCTAAATTTGAATGCAGATTTTTAGAGAATTGCTCCAGAAACATTTAGAGGTATGCCACTTCAAAATCCGATTAAGATTAGTTGAGTTATGGACTTTAGAACTTCAGCCTTGAGGCATTTTTGAGATTCCACAACATCATCACATCAGAAAAATGACAAAAAAATTACAAAAAAATGAAAAAAAAATAAAATTCTAAATTTGAATGCAGATTTTTAGAGAATTGCTCCAGAAACATTTAGAGGTATGCCACTTCAAAATCCGATTAAGATTAGTTGAGTTATGGACTTTAGAATTTCATCCTTGAGGCATTTTTGAGTTTCCACAACATCATCACATCAGAAAAATGACAAAAAAATTACAAAAAAATGAAAAAAAAATAAAATTCTAAATTTGAATGCAGATTTTTAGAGAATTGCTCCAGAAACATTTAGAGGTATGCCACTTCAAAATCCGATTAAGATTAGTTGAGTTATGGACTTTAGAACTTCAGCCATGAGGCATTTTTGAGTTTCCACAACATCATCACATCAGAAAATTTACAAAAAAATCAAAAAAAAATAAAATTCTAAATTTGAATGCAGATTTTTAGAGAATTGCTCCAGAAACATTTAGAGGTATGCCACTTCAAAATCCGATTAAGATTAGTTGAGTTATGGACTTTAGAACTTCAGCCTTGAGGCATTTTTGAGATTCCACAACATCATCACATCAGAAAAATGACAAAAAAATTACAAAAAAATGAAAAAAAAATAAAATTCTAAATTTGAATGCAGATTTTTAGAGAATTGCTCCAGAAACATTTAGAGGTATGCCACTTCAAAATCCGATTAAGATTAGTTGAGTTATGGACTTTAGAATTTCATCCTTGAGGCATTTTTGAGTTTCCACAACATCATCACATCAGAAAAATGACAAAAAAATTACAAAAAAATGAAAAAAAAATAAAATTCTAAATTTGAATGCAGATTTTTAGAGAATTGCTCCAGAAACATTTAGAGGTATGCCACTTCAAAATCCGATTAAGATTAGTTGAGTTATGGACTTTAGAACTTCAGCCTTGCATTTTTGAGTTTCCACAACATCATCACATCAGAAAAATGACAAAAAAATTACAAAAAAATGAAAAAAAAATAAAATTCTAAATTTGAATGCAGATTTTTAGGGAATTGCTCCAGAAACATTTAGAGGTATGCCACTTCAAAATCCGATTAAGATTAGTTGAGTTATGGACTTTAGAACTTCAGCCTTGAGGCATTTTTGAGATTCCACAACATCATCACATCAGAAAAATGACAAAAAAATTACAAAAAAATGAAAAAAAAATAAAATTCTAAATTTGAATGCAGATTTTTAGAGAATTGCTCCAGAAACATTTAGAGGTATGCCACTTCAAAATCCGATTAAGATTAGTTGAGTTATGGACTTTAGAACTTCAGCCTTGAGGCATTTTTGAGATTTCACAACATCATCACATCAGAAAAATGACAAAAAAATGAAAAAAAAATGAAAAAAAATAAAATTCTAAATTTGAATGCAGATTTTTAGAGAATTGCTCCAGAAACATTTAGAGGTATACCACTTCAAAATCCGATTAAGATTAGTTGAGTTATGGACTTTAGAACTTCAGCCTTGAGGCATTTTTGAGTTTCCACAACATCATCACATCAGAAAAATGACAAAAAAATTACAAAAAAATGAAAAAAAAATTAAATTCTAAATTTGAATGCAGATTTTTAGAGAATTGCTCCAGAAACATTTAGAGGTATACCACTTCAAAATCCGATTAAGATAAGTTGAGTTATGGAGTATAGAGCTTCAGCCTTGGGACATTTATGAATGTATACTTATTATATATACTTTTACTCTACGAGTAACGGGTATACACGGAAACAGATATACCAAATCAAAGCGGCAAAAGCAAGTGGCTTTACAAATTATTAGTAAAATGTAAATTTTTACTCAAATTGAAATGAATTGAATTTCACTACTTACAAGGACTTCTGTATTGGCGTAAAAGTTCGAGTCACCTACCTGCCATCTTCATCCTTGACAACTGATGGGTCTTCCGCCGAAATTGAGGAAATGACTCTTGGTAGTGATGGGTGGGCTTTATCCTCGTTGGGCATTCGGGAAGGAGGTTCGGGCGAGTCCAACGGACTTTTATCCTTGATGATGGTCTTCTCTACCGTCGCCTTAGGATCATCAAAGTCGTCCTCGCTGGGCACTCGGGATGGAGATGATATATTGCTGGGCGACCTGGATTTCGATAGGGATTCGGGCGAGTCCAACGGAGTTTTTAACTTGACGATGGTCTTTTCTACTTTCGCTTTGGGGTCATTAAAGTCGCGCTCGCTCTTGGCATACTCTTGGTAGACGAGCTGCTCCTTTCCACTATTATGTTCAGATTTTGGGACCTTCGCCCTTATTGAGTCCAGCATGGGCTCCAGCTCGGAGTTCCTCATGGCTCGATTGGGAACTACATCATCTTCCATGGCCTTGTCGATTTGTCCATTCTCCCCAAGGAACTGAGTGTCCGTCACTGGGAAATGGGTGACCGACTGAACCCTTTCGATGATCGTCTCCGTCTTTCCAGTGCGGTGCTTCACCTCCAACTCCTTGGTGGTGATGTCGGTGATTGCGATGTACTCCGGCTTGATCTCGCACTCCATCTCGTCCGTTTGAACGCCGATTTCGTGGGTAATGCGACAACATGGTCTCATCCAGTTTGCACAAGGCGACTGACAGCAGTTCTGATGTTTCTGTTGGCCACAACAAGATATACAAGGAGCTTGCTGGGAACACTGCTGCGTAAGATTGGGTAAAAATTGCTGGGAATATTCTTGGGAAAATTGCTGAGAATAGTCTGGCTGAGCTCGCATAGAGGTTTGCTGCCCACAGAAACAGTTTGGAGGCGGCTGGAAACTCCAATTCTGAGCAGATTCCTGAGAAAGTGTTTGAGAATTTCTTTGGGAAAAATTCTGAAAAACTTCCTGAGGACCTGGTCTCTTCTGCCAGCGAGGACGTTGCTCCGAACCACACATCATATATTTTTCCGGGGAGCATTTCTCTGGGCAGGGCATCGGCTGACTGGGCAACCGAATTTCACAGCGACACCGTGGACATTGGCAAGATTCATTCATCGATCTGTAGTCCATCGTCCTGAATCCCAGGCTTTGAATAACAATTCCGGACTAGAAATCATCGAACAACGTTCAAATAGGATTCTAGGCACCCAGCACACACAATTTTTTCAGTGAAACATCGAAATGGTTGTTATTGTTCTTTATGAACAAGGCATACTTCGTTAGTTGATAGAATAACTTCCTATATGAATATTAACTTTACAGTTACACATATATGCATCTATATTTAATAAGTGATTTAAGTAAGGGATTTAAAAATGTCTTAAACAATAACAGTTTATATAGTAATTGCTTTAATTTGTTCTATTACATGTTATAAAATCCCTGAACTCTACAAAATAGTTAATCATATCTACCTTTGACATTAGAATTAGTTACGATCATTCCATACGAAATCCAGTTCTTTGTGAACACATGCCAAGCTGAGAGCTTGTTTCTTTTTTAAATATCTTTTTGTAGAAAACAAAAATTCTAGAGTACAAAATTCCAGCACAGAGTGAACTGCCATGAATTCCCAGAAGAAGCTGGATGATTTCACCCGGAACTTGGACTTGGCCAAGTGGTATATGGGTATATCGACGCAGCAGGAGTACACGATGTTCACCATGGCGGAGAAGCTCCGGGATGACTTCGAGCAGGGAACAGGGGAAAAGATGTTTAAGATGCTGATAGCCCTGGGCCTCCAGCCGGTGATATCCAAAAAGAAGATCAGCCGGATCGTACAGCTGAGCAGGAATAACATACTGGCCTTCCTGTACTTTGTGATGGAGGGCTACTACAAGACAAATCAAAAGGATGGAGTTTACAGCATTAATGAGCAGCTGCTAATGAATGCCATAGCCAAGATCGATATGTTGCCCACCATTCGAGCTCTGGACACTGTGCTGCCCCAGCCCTTGGTCAAAAAACCGGACCCCCAAGATGAATCGTTAGCCTCCCTGAACACCGTGGAGCGTCCACCCAAGAAACCAACCAAGAAATCGCCCTACTTCCTAAGGCAACCGAAGCCCGTTCAAAGGATCTCCCGTCTGACGGCCAAGACTCCTGAGCTGGTCGTATCATTCAACTTTTGGCCCATCGATGGACCGCCCGATTATGGCAAGGACGAGGAGGAGCCTTGGTATGCGGTATACCGACTGAATCCCGGCCAGCGGCTGATCAAGAAAACCCTTTCCGAGACCCTGGAGCGCTATTTTAAGCTGGGAGCAGTGGAGGGGAAGCAGGAGGAGGAGGATACCCCACAAAGTCGGGAGCCCGCGGCCAATATGTGCTTGGTGCACAAGGGTCAGGTGTTGCAGGCCCAGTTACTGAGGGATGAACTGACGGTCAAGGCGCGGGATCGCTGCCTGGAGCTCCTCGATGTGAGGGAGCCGTACGCCAAACTTCGAAAGGCCAGAATCGTGGCCCAGTTGGAGCACGACATCGATGTCATCATGGCACGCCACCGCAACGCCATGCACTGCGACCAGACCAAGGTCCTGACCATTGAGAACGCCGACTGCGTGCTGTGCCAGAAGATGCTGGTATCGCAGCCCTGGCCAGAGCCCATGGATCAGGTTGGTCGCGCTCTGGTGGGCGAGGATTGCACCCTAGCCCATACGGCTGCATTCGATACTTACCGCGGCAAAAGGCTGGAGGGCGGTGCAGAGAAGCCGGTAAGTTGGACACTACCACATATATTATATTTATATTTTCCACAGCCACTATTCTATTTTCTATTCCAGAAAAAGAAGGATTGCTTAGTAGCCCAAAGGGCGCCAATCGATACTTGCCGCAAAAATGGAGAGAAGGCTGGTGGAGGCAAGCAAGTAAGTTGATACATTATATACTACATTACCTATACTCCTTTTTTTGTTGAAGCAAAACAAGGAAAGCACAGTAGCCCAAAAGGCTGTCATCGATAAAAGGCAGGCGGGTGGTGGAGGGAAGCCGGTAAGTTGAAGATGACCAAATGAGGCTATTTTTCTAATATCTTGCTCTATTGAAGAAGAATGACAAGAAGGGGAAGAAGGGGAAAAAACCTAAAGTGGAGCCACCGGAACCAGAACCGCCGAAACAGGTGAAGGTATCGCCCTGGAAGCCACCGCCGCGCAAACTCTTTAGCGGCCCCTTCCGAGTGCACAATGTCGACTTCAAGGAGAACTCGGAGGTGTGTAAGCCAGTGATTGGCCCCTTGGAGTGCGAGGTTCCGCCGGCTCCAAAGAAGTCGGCCGTATCCTTTCTGCTGGCCAAGGGAAAGATCGAGGGGAAGGCTCACAAGTGCGATATGCGCGTGCGCAGCAACAGGAATGTCAAAACTAAGTTCTTCCGGGGACCCCGATCGAACAAGCCCTACCAGTTCAAGTACCATCGGGTCTTCCAATCCGGCCAACCGAAACCCTTTGATCTGAGTCATATTGTGACCAAGTCGTTTGTGAAGGCGCTGGATAAGTCGGATGAGGACGAGGCCGTTGATCCCTGTTATCTCAAGGACCTTTTGTCGGAGATGGTGATTGAGGACGAGGCGCCTCCGGATACCAAGTCCGATGGTCATCCCGACACCGAGGCGGAAAAGCAACCACCGTTGGAACTCTTTAGCGAACTGGATCAGATTAAGATCTCTGATAGTCGGGAGACGATGGATCGTTCCAGCAGCCACAGTGGCCGCAGCCATGTGAACTACAAGGCGGAGATCGTGGATGCAGTGGTGAGATGTGCCAAGGCCGTTTGGCAGAAGCGGACCCTAATAAAGCGGGCCGAGATGGAGCGAATGGGCAGGATGACGCCGCGCAAGGCAATGACCCACAGGGATATGGAATCGTTCGATCCGAACGACAACGCCCAGATGGACCAGTTGCTGAAGGATGGCATGCGAGTGCTCAGGAAGGAACCCCGCTATGTGCTGGCTTGTCTCCCGGATGCCCACAAGCTGCCAGTGCTGCGGGAGTGGATCAAGAGGAGGTACGGCAAGACCTACAGCCAAAAGGAGCTCGCGGACAATTTGATAGAGTCCAACAGGATATTCGAGCTGGTCACCGTCCTCCAGAACCATTCCGTCAGCCCCGATCTCATGGGCATCGATCGTCTGCCCAGATCTCAGGAGAACTTCAACTTCTACAAGCAGATTAAGAATACGGCTGCCCTGGCTAAGCAAACGTACCACGCTCAGTTGAATGCCAGCTACCTGACCACAATGAGCTCCGCCTGGTACGCCATGGGCAACTATCTGGTGCCCGGAGGACCTCCGCGCAGGACCTTCTTCGCGTACATAGCCTCCAATCCGCAGGAGATCATGCGTAATAAGTCGTGGAACGGGGAATTCCGGAATTACCGCGCCATGCGCGACAAGCGGAAGGAGACGGAGAGGCTTATGGGCAAGAAGGACTAGATTACAATAAAGTAAAACTCTTTTCAATCGGGAACTCAGTTGTATTTGGGCTTGGTGCGGGCCACTCTTTTCCCGGTGAAACCCTTGCTGGCCAAATACTCTAGGATGCAGCGCTTGGTGTGCACCTTCAGTTGGCAGATGTCGACCTCCAGCTCCTTGTTGCAGTACTCGGCGCTCTCCATGCGTTGGATCAAATGGATTACGTGGAGCAGCACCTCGCCGTCCAGCTGCTGAATCTTGGCGTGCAGATCCAGGTCTTCCTCGGTTGTTAATGGCTCCTGCTGCTCTGAGGTTCCCAAGGTTGCTGGCGGTGTCCATTCGGGGGGCGCATCCATAATGGAGGAGGAAATCTCTGAGCTGCTCACCTCGTCGTCCGTCGATGATGAGTCCGATTCATTCGAGGAGCTCGAAGAGCTCTCCTCCTCGGCACGCCGTTTTGTACGGGAGCAGGTGTACAACTGCACCTGGGCGTACATCTCCTCGAAGATGATCTGCAGCTGCTTGGCCATGTGGTAGCACAGGTGACCGGGATTCGTGTACAGATAGGTGTTGTAGAAAATCAGCCGCACGTCCTTGGCGAAATCCGCGGCAGTGAGATAGCAACCCGTATTCAAGCGATGTCTCACGGTGGAGAGGTCCATGGGTTCCCTGACGATCTCGTGGTAATCGTGGAGGCCCAGCAGCTGGGCGTCCAGTGGCTCGTAGAAAACCCATGCAATATTCTTATAGGTAGTGGAGAACATTCTCTTGATCATCACCTTGCAGGCGTTAATTTCCGGCGAGGAAATTGTTTCTTGTTTTCCAGCCATTCTCCGAGAAATATCGACTAGCAGAAAATTCTATTATAATTTCGAACTTTTTGACAGCTTGAACGCAACACTGAAAACCCGAAGGGCATCAGTTGTATCCAACTGTCATTTTCCACACTCTGGGCTGCCCTGTGCGTTGTTATTTTTCTGGTATTTTTAGCTTATGAAAACTTGTGGGATTGCCACCTCAATCCGAGCAGAAAAGTCAATCCACAAATGCGGTTAGGGCAGCAAACAAATTCAGTTAATTATGCAAGTGGTTCCGGCCAGGAATGTATTTCCATACATTTTGTGTGGGAGTGCGGTCCCTTGGGCAAATGCTTTTCCTCAATCCTGAAGCTCGGCTGGTTAATCTAATTCCAGGACTCGTGCAAACAGTCCTTTTTCCGGCAAACGTATTTAAAAGTCCCATCGAGCTGTGGGGGCCGAAAATATTTATGGTCAACCGCTGACGTTTGCTATTTTAGAGTGGCAAAATATTTCGTTAGCATAAAAGTTTTGTTAGCACACACAATATACATCATTTTTGGGCAAATATTTGCAGGGCCTTCATTTGGGCAGTCAACAAGTTGGGTTTGCAAAAGTTAAATCGAAATCCTGCTTTAAGCCACTCTGTTAAGTTGGCTTCCACAGGCATGAGGGGAAATCCTGTGGCTCTCTGCCTCTGTTAGCTTGGGATCCACAAGTGAGAGACACTGATTTACTGAGCCCTCCTTTCTCTCGCTGTTAACTTACCTGCCACAAAATGCTGCAAATTGGGTGGCAATCAGACCAGGACTGGGCCACATCTTGGGGCGCCTCTTCAGTCTGCTGTTGGACTCTTTGGGGAAAGGTCTTGCGAGTGGGGCAATTGGGAGTGCACTCCACTGACACACTTGCGAATGGGGATTCTTCTTTGGGTATCATCTTGTTCGGATGTTGACCTTCAACCCCATTTGGCAACTATGCTTTTCTCACGGCACAAAGTTTGGGAAAAGTATGAAGTGGAGATACTATATAAGAAGCTACTGCAATATATTACACGTTTTAATCAGTTGTTAGAACATTAGACCTTACATCTTTCAAGATTATTCGCTGGCTTTATTTGAAATGCTTGTAGACCTAGAAATTATTGATAGCCACATCACATGTGGCTGAGATCTCATATGAGAGCCCTTAGCACACGATTCCCTTTGATCTCGTCGATATGTCAGTGGGGCCAGAAATGCACTACCTATTTCGCGGTAAACATTCCACTCTCTATTGCGGATTTCTAGATAAAAATCTTGTTCGTTTTCACACAAGTGAAACTGCGACACTCAATCAGTTGGCAGAGGAAACTATACACCGAGGGACTGGGCCAGGTGCTAAAAGGATCGCCAGGGGGGCGAAAAGGAAACGAGTGAGGCTGTCAGAGGCACTCCCTCCCTGCCTCCCTCCGTCGCCAAGCCACTTGCCCCACACCTGCGAGCATATCCCTACCTGGCCATCCCGCATCCCATTGGAACCGGGCAATATATGGATAAATATAAAAAAAGGGCGGCAATATGAAAGCCCTGCTGAGATGGGAAAGGGAAGAACCAGCACTCGAGGACGCCGAGGAGACATGAGAAATGTACATTTGGACAGGCTACACACGCTGTCCTCGCACGGCAGAGCGACAGAGAGGGGGCTATTCGAGCGATAGAGAGGGGGCTATTCGAGCGATAGAGACGGCGACAGCCAGTCAGATGTCAAACATTCTTTTGACACTTTGTCATAGCATCTCTCGGTGACACTTGTCAGCAGTCGGATTTCGCATTTCGGCGAATGGCTGTGGCACAGTTGATTTATACTGCCATGCATATGATATATGTGTGTTAATATGTACCTATACTCGCATGTACACGATTGTATCTTAATAGCATTTACTTATGCACCGCCTGAACTCATTTCGGCTTATGCAACAATAAGAATTAATTATATCACAGATCATTTCTCACTCGACCAGCTATTGAAGAAAGCATTGAAGTTGAACTCTAGTTTAAATATCTTTATTCCATGAGTTTTCGTGGCACTGATGAACATCGGCTAGCTGTTAAATGAACACAATTCTTTCGTAATTAAGTGATGGAGAACCCAATGGATCGAATGCACTTAGGATCCGTATATCACCACTTGGGACTTGATGCCACCTCCCCGTGCAGAGGTAAATTTGATCGTGACTGTGGTGGAGCCCACTCCGCCGGAGGTGATTTCGGCAGTGGCTCCCCGCATTCTCTTCAGATCCGTGATTTTGATGTAGGATATGGTCTTCGCAGTTCCCGCCTGCGTTAGGGTATACGTCTTCGTGGTGGTGCCCAGCAAGGACTTGGACTTGGTCACGGTCTCACTGGCGATGAGGGTATCCGTTGTTGCCTGGGTGCCGTAGGTGTAGTCATTTCCTTCTCCGCTTCCGAAGTTTGCGTCGATGAAGCAGACGTGAGTGCCGACCAAAAGCAGGAAAACGCCAAAGAGGTACATTTTGGAGATTGTTTTTTGGTGCAGAGATGAAAGCGTACTGTTGGCTAGGGCAATACAGCGATTCGTTTATATAGGGCCGCCTGGAGTTGTAAATGTAAGCCATCTGATGGCCTAAATCGATAGTGGGAAAGATAGAGAAGTATCTGTAACGCCTACGCAACGCTATCACGGACATGCTACATTCTACCTTGCCACACAATGAAAATGAAATGATTATTGGGAAAAACAAGTCCATCGACTATGGAAAACATGCCCTTCTACAATGTGTGGGGTTCCAAAAGCGTTTGAAACAATCTTAGCCACTTTCGGATATGTTATATCGTATTTTAGACCCTGACAGAACTTCATGCCACTTAATTTACACGGAACGAATATAAAACAGAACAGGTTTAGTTGCATCGAATGCGATGATTTGGAGAAAGTGAAATCTTAGTTGGGGTTTCATTTGACTCTCGATCAAGCTGTGTTGCAAGTTCTAATAAATTGAATTGTAAACCCATTTTAGAGTAACAAGTATTTGACAACGGACTGATGCATCAGTTTGATATTTATGTTTTCCCCGAAAAGTGCTTGAAAACAATTTGTTTCCGCTTCTTATTTCCAAATCTAATACATTGGCTTGTTATCTACAAGAACTTAATTAAAAACAAGTGACAACCTGTTACGCAATCCCCCAACAATAAAGTCGAGACAAGATCTCTCAGTTTATATAGGCAAACAGAAAGTCGAAATATATCTACGTGCGGCATGGGTGACAAGTTGCAAGTTCTTTTATTTTGACGGGGCTCTCAGTAAGATGTTTTGGTAAATGGACATATATTGATTACAGCAAATTTGAAAGGTGTTTAACTTTCACACTTTCACAGAGAAATATGATAATTGGGTCGTTTGCAATTTAGGTTTCTCGCAGAATAAACTCAATTAGCGGCCCGAATCGAGCGAATGATTTTGCTATTTAGCCAGCAAGTTGACGGCCATTTATCAGGGAATCTAATCTAATCCTTTTGCTGGCCAAATAAATTAAAACGAAAAGCCTTTTCGGCAGACGAACCACTAAATTACACCAAAGATAATTAACCTGTGCGGCTCCGGATTTGCGGGAGCAGGAAAGTCGGAGTCTCGATGGTTTTTCCGAGCGCTTTATTAGGTGTTCGACCCACAGCAGCGGAAGCGAAAACGACGGAGTAGCATCACCAAGGACCAAGGACCAAGGACCCAGGCGCAAGGCGCAAGGAGCAAGGAGCGCACTGAAATTACAAAATGGCGAAAATTATTGCGGCCCAGACTCGACCTCGTTGGCTATTTCCGTCGGCAGGCATTTTTCCAAATGAAGTTTGCAAGTAATCATGAAAAAGGTAATTTAATAAAAGCAAAATCGAGCAACATAAAACTAATTTACGGCCTGAAATTGCCTGTGAAAAGCGAGTGAAAACACAGCAAGACGTCCTACCTCCTCCATTGGCCGAGGTCAGTCCTTTGAAGTTCAAGGTTAGGCACACTCCGCTCCATCCCGCCGAAATAAGGGACATCGATTTGCCAAAGGATACGCCCTCCTATGCATAAGCTCCTTGAGTGCCCGACTCTGCCACATGTCCAGCAGCAGCAGCAGGACAATAGCAGCAGCAGCAGCAGCAGCAACATCAAGATCTGCAGCAGCCATTTTTGTAGCATGTTCGAGTGGCAGCAGCAGCAGTGCTCCATAAGCGGCTCAAACTGGTGGAAAAAGAGCAACGTCGAAGAAGGAGCCCATTATCCTAGAACGATAAGGAAGAAAGCATTCTTGTTTATATGTGTTTTATTATTATTTTACATCTCAAGCATGTTTATAAAGTACCATACAGTGTTAGGTATTTACCTAAGCTGAGTAAAACAGTGTGATAGCTGCTATTGAGCATATTAAATTGAAGCTTGACATTCTTTTGAAATTATGCTGCATTATAAGCCATAATCAACACTCAACTAGCAAATTTGTTGGTAAATTATTTTAAAAGTGGCTTTCAGCCCCACAAAACCCCGGCAGCCACACATATGACAAAAGAATTTAAGAGCTTATTTATTCCACACATTTTTGAACTCCATCCGCTACCATTTCCCCATTTTCCATTCTTCCCCTTTCTCATTTTTGGCTTGTGTCCAAGCGCTGAAAATATTTGGCCACAAAATAATACAAGGCCAAGAACCACAGCAGCAAATATGGCTAAAAATGCTAAAGGACACATGCTAAAGTTTAAGCAAATATGTGTGCCACTGAGCAGAATCCACCCCCAGTGGCCTCTGACCCCCAATTTCCGGCTTCCTCGCTCGGATGCGAGTCCAAATCAAGGCATTTAAGTCGGTATTTCTGTGAGTATGCTCCTGCATTATTTAAAAAGTTGCTTTAATGCCACTTCAGGCTTTGGCCCGCCAGCGAAAGTGGGGCAAGCCAATGGGGATATGCGTCGGCGGCGGAGAAAGTTTCCAGGTCTACGCAAGGAGGAGTTCCGTGGAGCAGTAGGTCAACACCTGAGCAGCCGGAGAAC